TTTACTCCTGCTGACTAGAGAAACTCCATGTTCCCCTTGTGGGTGACACCAAAGTGACCCACACCAGGCAGGCCTGTCTGTGCTACTGAGGTGCTGTGATGTGAAATACAGATGAACCCAGGGCTCAGCCGCCTTCTTAGAGGACCCTGTCACATACACCCTGGCTGCCTTGACACTGAGGACCAGGCTGACGGGCCCTGCTGTCCCCTGCCCAAGGGACACTCTGCCCAGGGGCTGACACTGGCCTCAGGGAGACGCCATGTGCTCCCCAGGGAGATGCTCGCCCTCCCACCCAGGGCTGCTCCTGTCCAGCCCCATAGGGTCCCTTTGCAGCTGCCAGCTCTACCCGCCCGGCTCTGCCTGGCCCAAGCTGCCTCAGCGCTGGCCTCTCCCCTCCTGCTCTTCCTCTCCACCTTCAACAGAAGCAGCTCAGAGACCCCCGGTGGGCACTCACCTGGGCGTCTAGCTTGATCTCTGGGAGAGAGAGGAGGCCAGTTTCTGCAATTCAGGGTCTCTAAGGTGCAGACTTATAGAGACTACAAGAGGTGTGGCTCAGGAAGAGTGGGAGGAGCCTCAGGGGTTCAGTCCAGAGAAAGCAGAGGAGGAAGCCTCTACTTTAGTCTAGGTGACCCGGTCCTGGCCACTTCCTGCCCACCCTTTACCATCACTCGGGGCTTGAAAATGACCTTGAGGCATTTAGCTGCATTACAACTTGACCTGCGGGTAAGAGTTATATAGAGGAACTAAAGATTGAACAAAACCCCTAAACCCTTGTGGAGATCAGATAGAGAACCTATCTCACGGCATCATATTCTTCCCTCCAGGTAGAGGTGACAGAATTGAGTAAACAGTGGGACACCCAGCCAGTGTCACAGAGAAAGGCTGCCGTGGGGAAGCCCCTCACATACCTGGTATCACCATGTCGGGAGGACGGGAGACCTGTGACAGTGAAGGAGAACAAGATAGAGGGGTGACCCACCTGCTGCCCCCCTCAGCAGTGTACTTCTTCAGTCTGCCTGTTCCGCTCCAGGTAGAGGTGACAGAATTGAGTAAAAGTGGGACACCCAGCCAGTGTCACAGAGAAAGGCTGCCGTGGGGAAGCCCCTCAAGCCTGGCTACACCTCAGCCCAGCAGCTGCTACTCCACATCTGGACTATGCCCCCAGGCCCAGCTGCGCTTCTGTCCAAGGTGCCCATGGGGATCCCGAGTGTCCATCTCCAGGTAGAGCGAGGCTGGGGGTTCAGGGCTGTTTATTATTGTGTCACCCACCAAACCCGCACTGTGGTCAGGTTTCCTGGGGGTCAGTGTGTCTTCCTGTGCCAGGCTCTGTCCAGCAAACCACTTCATCCTGAGTTGTCCTGACACTTTAGCTCCTCTCAGCTGTGACAATTTCCCAAATGTCCTTGCTTATATGATTTGACATTTTTATGGATAACTAGTGAGGCATTTCATAAAATATGACTGTTGTGTTTTTATTATTTGTCTTTTACTTATATATATTTTATGTCATTTCTTGTGTTTTCAAACCAATTTCTCTTTGCAGTAGGCATAAATTGTTAGGCCCAGGCATGTCACTCTGCCATAGGTGAGGGGCCAGGGGGTGCAGTTGACTGTTGTATTCAGTTCTGTGTTAGCCATGAAAGCTCCTTGGAGGAGGAGTTTAACAGGTCATGTAATACGCACTTTCTCAACAGAAGCGGTAGTGCCCTTTGTAGGCAAAATTTAATTATTGAGTGAGAAAAAATTCTGAATAGCAGCGTGATTTTTTGCTCTTAAAACTCAAAACAACTGAACAAATTATTATGTCTTACTTTTTATTTCAGGGGGCAGGGAGTGTGGGTAGGACAGAAAAATCTAAAGGGAAGAAAATGGAGACTGATCTGCTAGAAACAGGAAGGCAATGAGTACCTGTGTCCAGGATGACACTTGCCTGACAGGGGTTGAAGGGTATACTGTCACAGCCATGGGAATGGGCTCCATGCTCTCTGCCGTTCTTTCATGCACCACATCTCAGAATGTATCTCATTTAAAAGTTTTAATATTGTTTTAATATTATTTTAATGAGATAATATTGGTTTGCAACACCACGTTTGATTTTCCGCACAGGGTTACCCCTCTCTAGATATGAGGTACCAACTACAACCCCTGTCTACAAATCCAGTTCCACAATTCACTTCTATCTGAAACAGCCCACAATTAAAATTTCACCTTTTGGGCCCTATCTGATGGTGCAACGGCTTAAAGTGTAGCACTGTGAAGCTAACGGCAGCTACTTTATCAGGAGTTCAATCCCCAGCCCCAGAGCTGACCCACAGGCACAGCAGACCTCTCCTGACCACTCAGTGCTCCCCTCAGCAGTGTACTTCATCAGTCAGCCTGTTCTGCTCCCCACTCTGTCTCTGGTGAATCCTTTCATTTCACCACACCTCTGGCCTGTATCCCATTCTATATGTATAAATACATAAATCTTTTTTTTTAAAAAAATAACTCAACTTACGGCTGTCCCCGGTGGCGCAGCGGGTTAAAGCACAGCACTGAGAAGCTTAAACCACTTCTGCATGAGTTCAATTCCCGCCTGCCCCGGAGGTGACCACATGGTGTGGCAGACCTCTCCTGACCCGCCCGCTGCTCCCCTCAGCAGTGTACTTTGTCGATCTGCCTGTTCTGCTCCCCACTCTGTCTCTGGTGAATCCTCTCACTGCCCCTGCACCTCTGGTCTGTACCCCAGTTCTATATGCATAAATAAATAAATCTTTTTTTAAAAAAAGTCAACTTTCGGGCCCTCCCTGGTGGCGCAGCGGGTTAAAGCACAGCACTGAGAAGCTTAAACCACTTCTGCATGAGTTCAATTCCCGCCTGCCCCGGAGGTGACCACATGGTGTGGCAGACCTCTCCTGACCCACCCCCTGCTCCCCTCAGCAGTGTACTTCGTTGATCTGCCTGTTCTGCTCCCGCTCTGTCTCTGGTGAATCCTCTCACCCTCCGCATCTCTGGCCTGTACCTCAGTTCTGTATGAATAAATAAATAAATCTTTAAAAAAAAAAAGTCAACTTTCATTTAAAGCTCTGTAGGGAAGGAGACTCTGAGGTCTCTGAGGGCTCAGCCAGAGGAGCAAGTACCTGATTCCTCCCCATGTTGCTCACAGGGCGCCCAGATCCCAGGTCTCACCCCCTGCAGAGAAGCAAGACACAGACATCACAGATGGGGCATCTTCAGGTTGCAAGTGAGTTTTATTGAAAGAAGCAGTGAGCAGGTTGGGAACACATAAGCTGTGTCTCACACCCCAAGGCCGCCAGTACAAGCCTCAGACCATGATGCTGGGTGAGAAGGCCAGAAGCCAGCTTGAGCTTTCCTTCAGGGTGAAGAGGGAAGAGCTGGAGAGTAGGGGCCACATGCACCAGTACAGAAGTGGGGGGTGGCTTCTCTTTCCAGCCAAGCTGGAGATCTACATGGAACCATCAAAGTAGACTGGCCAAGTCTGGTTCCTGTCGCAGGCAATGATGATGTATTTCATTCTGTTGATGGTCTGGTATTTAGGGGGGTTCCTGCCACTCAGATTACAGTATGTGATGTTCATTCTATGTCTACTCATGTGGCAGTTATTCTGTCCATTGGAGCAGCAGAAGGTTCTCTCATGGCAGACAGCCTGGACAGCCTCAAGGGACTCATGCACAAAGGTGTTGAAGTTCCTTTTTAAAAGTTTCCGTTGTTTCATGATCTTGTTACAGTAGTTGGAGGGTAAAGGGCCGCTGCGGGAATCCAAGTGTCTTTGCTGGAACCTCTGGGCAGCAGGAGGCTGGGTCCCCACAATCACCAGCAGCCCCAGGGCCAGCAGGGAGGACAGGACGAGGGTCTTCAGAGCCATGGTGGCCTCGCTTCCCTGGGGGCCACCTGGGAAAGGAGAGGAGACACTGCCCCTTAGGAAAGGACCCCACTCCCATCCCAAGGCTCCCTGTTACAGGTTCCACTTAATCAGCAAGACAGTCACCTCTTCCTGAGACCTGCCAAGTAATCAGGCACTATTTGTTCTAAAGAGTTTCCTTGGGCTGACTAGAGAAACTCCATGTTCCCCTTTGTGGGTGATGCCAAAGTGACCCACACCAGGTAGGCCTGTCTGTGCTACTGAGGTGCTATGATGTGAAATACAGGTGTACCCAGGGCTCAGCCGCCTCCTTAGAGGACCCTGTCACATACACCCTGGCCGCCCTGACACTGAGGACCAGGCTGACAGGCCCTGCTGTCCTCCCACCCAAGGGACACTCTGCCCAGGGGCTGACACTGGCCTCAGGGAGATGCCATGTG